TCTTAGGTAGTTCCACTTTATCCAGATCTATCCCCCTTCCAACAGCACTGAACACTTTCTAATTAATGATACTATGCAATCTTTTTTGCAGATAATTGTGGATATTCTTTGATACAACACTAAAACCAGGCAAATGCTGGGTTCTGATTCGCTGGGTCACACAGATTTCCCATATGATGATAGATTTATTATACATTATCAAAAAATTGAGAATTCCTGTCAACTCATGATTTTACAAATTCTGATTTTTGCTTGAAAATTCAAATTTTATCATATGGCAACATAAGCTGTCTGTGGTTTTCCCCGAAGCAACAAGCTTCTCTTCACTTTTTGAGAAAATGTCTGCCAAATACTCAAGTCTGAGTAGTGCAATTTCTCTATCAACTGTTCTTTCAAGAATGGTTCTCATGAATAAATAGCTTTAGATTGAAACAATTGCAAAACTACTTTGATATGCCTAAGTACTTTATGCATTTTTCCATCCTGTCACATAATATTAAATAAAGATAGGTATTCAAGGTCAAGATTGAACAAATTAGTAATTTTTACTGCTTCAAGAATATTCCAAAGTGAAACTGGCTTTTAAAAAAACTCTAAGTGTGGAGACTACTAGTACAATCTGGTGATTCTGCTCTGATAGAGGATGAGGCATCAGCAGTTTTCCCTTCCATTACTTTTGCACCCTCAGTACAAATGTCAACACTGAAAGGGTAAATAATGTTTTAGTATTTCTATGAAAATAATTCTGTCAGATGACAGAAAATGTCCCCTCAGGAACTCCTCTCCCACACTGCTGTAATACATTAACCCACACAGAGCAAAATAGTTTGAGAATATTTTTTATCAGAATAGTTTTACTCTGAGTCTTGCCTGCAATTAAATGAAAGGATGCATTTTTAACAAGAAAATAAAAAAGGAGGAAAAGGGGCTAATAATAGAGAAATAGAGGTAATAAGAAACATGGAATGAAATGGAAAAACATGTATTTAAGTATTCTACTTTCCTGACTTTACAAGCAAGTGAAATAATTTAACAGATAATATAACAGAATTTCTGTAGAACCAACTAATCTGATATCAAAGTGGGAGTTTTCTGCTGAATAAATGAATAGTTTAATATGTGACTGGATTAAATCTAGGATCTCAAAGTACAATTTCTTAGATACTCTATTACTCACTAGATTTATTAAAGTTTTTCACTGTTCATAGCAGTTGTATTAAAAAAAAAAAGAGAGGGGCCTCGCTGATGGCGCAAGGGTTTGAAGCACAGCACTCTGAAGCTATCCCCAGGAACTGAAGGACAAGTTCCATCCCAGGCCAGCGAGGTGACCCACATGGAGCAGTAGACCTCTCCTGTCTGGCCTACTGGTCTCCTCAGCAGCATATTTCAGTACATCTGCCTATTCTGTTTTCCACTCTTTCTGGTGAATCCTCTCACCCCCACACTTCTGGCCTACAGCCCAGTTACTGTATGCATAAATAAATAAAACCTTTTTTTAAAAACCCACCTTCTTAATGTTTGAAAGGCTTATTCCTCCCATTTGAGGCAAAAATTTAAATCTCTCTCAGTAACAAAGAAATTAACTAGCTTTGGGGGACATAAGCAGCTATATACTAACTAGAAAATGTGCAGTTCTATTAAAGAATTAAAAATTTATTTCTTATTGCTTATATTTTCATTTTCAGATACATTGTGTTAACAAAAGTACAGCTAAAACTCAATCTTATTTACATCTTCTTTGTAGGCTGCCATGAGTTGCTCAGTTAGCTTCTCTTAACCAATGACCTTACAAACTCTGAATATTAACTCTGGCAAAAACATAATGGGACCAAAGGGTGTCTTAAAACAAAGCACGAGTTATGCATGTGAGTATGTCACCCAACCCAAGGTCCACTGCTGGTCTGTTTAAAATGTTCCTGTTTTAATAATACATGAACTAAGCAATTAGAAATCTCTCTGAGATCCTGATAAACACATACTTTAATATATACAATTATAACCATAAAGAAAACCCAAAAGCAAAAATAATGAACAACCATATACCAGACATTTTGCGGGGGTGGGGTGGGGAGGGAAGTGCACGGGATTTTGGTGATGGCACACGGGTGATATGGTGATGGGAAACCCGGGGGATTACAATTGAGATGGAAAAAATAATGTACAAAATGATGTAAAAATAAACTGTTTTAAAATAAAAAAACTAAAAAAAAAGAAAAAGAAAAAGAAAACCCAAAAGCTCAATATTCAATTTTTGCTATTAAATGCCACTGTGAAAAGTCTTTTAATATATAATCTTCATCATTTAATCCCAATGGTACCTGTGTGTGAACTATCTCCAACATAACAGCTAGTAAGATTTTTTACTTTTTCAAAATATTTATTTTATGTATTTATGTATACAAGAGCAGGGGTGGAGGCCAGAGTGGGGGAAGAGTGAGAATACTCACCAGAGACAGAGTGGGGAACAGAACAGGCAGATTAACTAAAACACACTGCTGAGGGGAGCAGCAGGCTAGACAAAAGAGGTCTGCTGTGCCAGCTGGGTTAGTTCCCTGGCCTGGGACTGAACTTAGCTGCTGATAGCTTCATTGTGCTGAGATTTAATCCCTTGTGCCACCAGGGTCCAACATTTTTTTTTATCTGATTATTAAAGCAAAAACAAACAAACAAAACAAAACAACAACAAAAAAACTTCCTTAGCTCCTTATTTATATAACTCTATCAGGATAAATAAATGAAATTTAATTTTTTATCAAAAACTTTTAAAAAGGGATTGCCTAAATAAGGAAGTTTAATATAAAGATGTAGTTATCTTCAATTAATAACAATTTAACATAACCTGCTTTGTATTTCTACAATGCTCGCTGTACTGACTTTCAGAAGAGTTTACATGAAATGGTGCTGGAAGGGTCTTGGTATTCACTTCTCATTTTACAGATATGAAAAACTGACCCTGCATAAGTTAACTTCTTACACTTCAGTATTTTTCCATATTTCCAAGGTGCTGAACCAGATGATTCTTACCATCTTTCCTACTTCTAATTTTTTTTTAAAAAGACAAGCCAGATTTTATTGAAAAGATTTACACAACTACATAAATGTAAAATCAACCAAATAAATATCAAAAGGAGATACAAAGGAACAGAATTTACAAGGCTAGAGCACCTGTCTCATGTCAGCGTTCTAGATACCAGTATCTCATTAGTACTCTTAATAACCTGCATGAGGATTTGGGGGGGGACTTGAGTGAGTTCTAAACCTATGTCTTTAGATGCTGCAAAAACTCCATTCATGTTCTTAAAGAAAAACAGCTAAGGGCCGTAAGGTGTATTAATACCATGTTAAGTGACTGATGCTCTTAAGCCAAACTGGGAAGTATAGCGCCATCAAGTTAACATTTCAACTAAATGTCCTCTACTTTAAACAAAACTGGATAAATAACTCTTGAATACACAATAATAGAAATGTCAGGACCTAGAAAATGGATTTTAAAAATGAGGCGATTAAAGCCAAAGGGTTTACCTATTTTTCAACCAAATTAAAATAGTAGGCAGAAGTAAATGTCTGATCTCTTTCTGGAGTTACTATGTGCTCTAATAACACAAAGAAATCCAACTATTTGCCTAGAAAGACATCTTTAGAACATCTACAGAGATAAACGGTTTTTTAAAAATTAGTTAATTCGTCAAGACTATTGACAGTTATCAGAAATATAAAGGGCAAGCTCTACAGAACTGGGTCTCACAGATTAAAGAAAACTATTGTTTTTATGTTCGACAGTGGCTGACCCAAATTTGGTGAACAGTATATATGTGGCGAACAATAAATGTTGGTGAATGAATATGCCCAATCCAAGGCAAGTATTGCCATCACTGGCAACAGATTCCGTGTAAGTCCAACTCAAATCAAGCCATTGTAAATAGAAATGAATATGTTACTTAACAGTCCTAAAGTGATCAATTTTAAAATTAAACTGTAGGCTTCAAGGTAATGTAACTATTTGGTCAAACTGACAGAAGTAAGCTTCGCATTAATTCACTGCAGCACCCCTCCCTTCTTTTTTTTTAAACAAGACTCGGATTCTAGAGATAAGAGCTGAAACTTACAATTTCTATGACTCTCTCCAAATAATTTGGCCAGAACAAATTATTTCGTCTCCTTAAAAGGAGACTAACTTGGTTCAGGTTGGCAACCAGGGAACGAAAACTTTAGGCTTAGTCGTAAATCTTGCCCACACGGTATAACTACGGTCAAAACATCTGACCTCTCCTTACCCACCACTTTCTCCTTTACTCAGACGAAAAGCAGCGGGTGTGTAAGGCGGTGGATAGAAGGTCGCGGGGTTTTCACCAAATCGGACCCCCATGGCACCGCCTCGGCGCGCCGCAGCTCCCAACCTGGAGAAGCTCGGGAAGGAAACTCCCCAAGTGCGAGAAACAACCCACAGCTAAAGCGGGGGCCAGAACACCCAAATCTACGCCCGTGGCTCTACCAGGGGAGCGCCGAGCCCGGAAATCAGCTGCCCGAGGTCCGAGGTGGAGCGTGAGCGACGTGAGGCCCCGGAGCCCGCGCAGCCAGGAGGGAAGGAGGCGGCCCCGGCGCCCATTTTGTCCCTGGCCTCCGCACTTCCCACTCGTCTCCCCCCCCCCCCCGGGCCAAGTCACCGACGCGCGGCCTGCAGCTGGGCTCCTCGCCGCGCCCCGCAACCCGGACAGCGGTTGGGCGGCGGAGCGTGCCCGTTTCCGCGTCGACTCCAGGCCCGGAGGCTCGACCCTGATGCGGGCCCGAAGCCTCCGTCTCGCCCGGGCTCACGGTCCCCGGGCTCACGGTCCAGCCCTTCCTCGGCCGGAGGGCCCCGGCGCTCCCCGCCCCGGCCTCAGCCTCCCGGGTCCCGCGACCGGGGGGCCCCTCACCCCCTCTCGCCCAGGTTTTCGGCTCACGCCCCGCAACCTGAGCCCAGTACCTTCCTCCCCCCGTTTGCACCCCAGCCTGAACCGTACCCCCCAGCAAACAGATGCACCAGCGTGTCCCTCTGGCTCATTCTCTCTCCCGCATGTCCTCCGGGCGCTGAGGCGGGACGCGGGTGCGGCCGCCCGTCACGGCCGGCGGCTTCGGGGCGGGCTGGAGCTGCACAGAGCCCCAGGGGTGGCGAGGGAGCTGGCGGAGACGCGGCCGCAGAAAGCCACCCGCGCGGCCCACCCCGCGGCGCTACAGCCGCGCCGCCTCCCGCTCGGCGTCAGCGCTCTGTTCCCAAGCCGGAGAGCGGCGCGGCGGCGACGGCGGCTGCTGGGTGGGTGCGGGGACATGAATATTCCGATGACCCCCGACATAAACAGAAGCTCCCATTGGAGCGCGCTGCGTGACGTCACGCGGTCGGCAGGCCTCTTTCACGTGATCACTGAGGGGTTTCTCAATGAAAGGCCGCTAGGCGGGTCGGAGCGCGTGCCCGGAGGGGTAGTAGGTCGCTGCGCCCTCGCATCTAATCAGGCTGCCCTGAAGGCTGCACCCCACGCGGCGTGGGCTTGCTCGCTGCGGAGATCCGAGCGTCCCCCAATTCCGCGACCCCTGAAGACAAGACAGATTTCGGGTTCTCGGGGCGGGGTGGGGGAGGGTGGGGCGGGGCCCAGTCTCTGACAGACTTAAAAAAAAAAGGCTTCTTTTAGAGCATTTCTTATTTTAAGTTTACAACAAAATTAAAAGGAAAGTTCAAATTTCCCATCTTCCTCCTTTTTGATTTATTTATAAAGAATTTGGCTTCATGACCCTGCAATTCCACTTCCTGGTGCCCACTTGAGAGTAACACTCCACAAAGCAAGAGGCGGCCTGTGTGAGGTTACTTGTCTAGAGCCACAATACAGTATTTGTAAACAATCTTGTAATAGTGGAAAATTGCGATCAGGAGAGTAATGGAGAAATATATCATGGAAATTCCTATAAAAATTACCATCTCTGGGACCTCTCTGATGGCACAAGGGGTTAAAGCTCAGCACTATGAAGCTATCCACAGCCACTGCAGCATACAGTTGGATCCAGGCCAGGGAGGTGACCCTCATGGAGCAGCAGAGCTCTCCTGACCGCCCACTGCTCCCCTTAGCAGTGTATCTCAGTCAACCTGCCTGTTCTGCTCCCTATTCTGTCTCTGTTGAATTCTCTCACCTCCCCTATCTCTGGCCTGTACCCCAGTTCTTATATACACAATAACTAAATCTTTTCTTTTTTAATTGCCACCTAAGACCATTCTTCCTCCAGCTCATTGCATTAACATTTAGAGATATTCTTTTTTATTAGCAGCATTATTGAGGTATTTATTCATGTGCCATAAAATTCAGTTACTTGAGGCCTCCCTGGTGGCACAAAGGATTAAGTGTCAGCACTCTGAAGCTATCAGCAGTTCAATCCCAGGACAGGGAGCTGACCCACATGACACAGCAGACCTCTCCTATCTCACCTGCTTGTTCCCCTCAGCAGCGTATTTCAGTCAATTAGCCTGTTCCTCACTTTCCTCTTTGGCGAATGTTTTCAGACACCCCACTCCCTCACCCCCACCTCTGGCCTGTACCCCAGCTCTTATTTGCATAAATAAATAAATATCTAAAAAAAAATTCAACTATTTAAGCTGTAGAATTTAGTGATATTTAGTATGTTCTCATGAACTGACCGAATTCCAGAACATTTTCTTCACCCAACTCCTGGCAACCACATTCTTCTCTCTTTGGATTTATTAATCTGAACATTTCCTATAAATAAATAATACAATATGTGCCTTTTTGTGGCTGGTTTTCAAGATTCCTTCATGTTGTAGCTTGTATCAGTGCTTCAGTCCCTTTTATGACAGAATATGGCTACATCATGTGGGTACATCATGAATTTTGCTTATTCATTCTCTTAAATGGCCATTTGTGTTGTGAATAATGCTGCCATGAGCATTTGTGCAGAAAAAGTTAGCGTGAATACACACTTTCAATTCTCTTGGGTGTATAACTGGAAGTGGAATTGCTGGGTCATATGCTAAATCAACATTTAACCCTTTGAATATTCACCAGACTGTTTTCCAAAGTGTATCATTTTAGATTATTTCTTTCAAGGCAATAGCTGTAGCTTCCTGTTTTGTTTTTTAGTATAGTGACTGCATTATAGTGAAAGTTCTTATGTGCAGTAACAGTTATTCCCATAGTAGGCAATAGCAGTCTTTTTAAATGCCTTTATGTGCCATAGAAAGAGACTCTGCCCCTGTGCACTCCAGCTGGTACAGCATTGGGGCTGCCCACTTGGGTGTGCTTGCTGAGGTCATTCATGCAGGAATTCTAGGACTGAATTGGCTGTCATGCTAACTGAGGTTCCACAGTACTGTCATGTGCTTGCTCTTTTAAAACCCTTCTTCCTCATCCTTGTTGATTACAGTATGTCTTCAAGTGATTTCTTTCAGAGTGGCACAAAGAGATTTCTTGTGCACTTGTACCTTACACAAACAAGCTTTCAAGTGTTTTTGCAAAATGATGACAGGCAGGGTAGGTGGGGCTAAAACCAAGATGTGGGAGCATCTTCAAGTCTTCCTGCTGAGGTGTCTTCTGGGAGTTGTAGTTTCACTGAATATAGAAAGAGAAACTGTTCGGGTTGTCTCACAACTCGATGCTTACCTCAACACATGCAAATAAGCACATTATAAAATAGAGAGGAACTAGGGGACTCTAGAATTGGTATGATCTTGCATTTTAGTTGTTAATGAACAGTGATCTTTGTAGCTATTAATGCAGGGAGTAGAAAATAACTGGGTCACTTATGCCATTTACCCTTACTCCATCCTTAGTCTCTATTGGTCAGAGGTACAGACAACTCTTGTGTTTCAAGCCTTGAATTGGAAGCATTAGTTTCAAATGTTTGGGTAAGTTTTTTTTTAATATATATATATATAGCTTTGTCTTAACTATTTTAATGAGAGATTAGGAAAATGGTTCGTGCTCTATATTATTTTTCTTTATAAAATTTGAAGTACCATTGCATTATAACAAGTAAGTTTTGGATGTGCATCATATTTGCTTTTAACAAAAAGCAATACATTCAAGTAATACAGAAGTGCATGAGAAATTAAAATCCTTTTCTCACTTTCCCCTCTGCAATTTCCACTCCCCCAGAGGAAATCATTAAGAGTTCTGTGAGTGTCCTATATCATGATGGCAATAATCTCAAATATAGTTTGCAAGAAGCTGAACTGGAATGGAAACCTGGTCTGGTTCTGGGTCTGTGCCCTTGTCATCTATTTTACACTATCTTATAGTGCTTTTGTCCCTTGAGACTATTAAGCGTAGTTGCAACAAAAAACGGGAAAGAGGCTTTTGGAGGAACTTCGAGTCTGGTGCCCAGAAGACAAAATATGCATTTGCATGTGAGCCCTATATCTGAGTCATGTGGGCAGTTGTTCCCTAACGCAGGTTTGATTCCCCATTGAGCTGCCACTTCCATCAGTCACTCTAGCAATTAAATTCAGGGGTATTTAGATTCTTAGACAGACAAGTGCTAAGCTGAGCCTGCTAGCACCTGAGAAAAAGAACTTGTGGAAATGATTTTCCCTCAGAATGAATCAGTATATTGCTTATAGAGAACACTATATCCCAGGGCCAATTCTAGTGAGAGTTCTAGGAGAAAACAAGTAGACACTTTTCCTATTATTCAGGACAGGAGTTGTTATTGTAGAAAAGTGGGGAGACCTTGCAAGATAAGTTTAAGATAAGGGTGCAACACACTGTCTTATTTTGTCTGGAAAATGCCTGGGATTTGTTTGTGATAATGTGAAAGTAGTAGTACCTCCTTCCCATTGAAGAACCATCCAGAGGTTGGTTTCTGCTTTAAATCCACTTGCATCTATGCATTTGGATCTTGCTTTTAATATTCATTATTTACTTTTAATTTCAAAGCAATAAATACAAACAACCCAATTCATAAAATAGGCAAATGATTTGAATAAATAGTTCTCCAAAAAGATTTACAGATGGTAAATAAGCACATGAAAAGATGCTCAATTTCACTAATCATAAGGGAAATGCAAATCAAAATTACAATAATATATGACTCCACACTCGTTAGGATGGCTATTATAAAACAATATATAAAAACAAGATAAACTCCTCAAACAGAAACAGAAACAAAAACGACCACGTGTCAGCCAGAATGTGGGGGAATTAGAGCTCTGTGTATTGTTGGTGGAAATGTTAAATGGTGACACTGCTATGAAAAATGGTATGGCAGTTCCTAAAAAAAGAATTAAATATAGCTTTACCAGAAGATCCATTTCTAAGCATATAACCAGACTTGAAAACAAAGATTCAAGAATCTTTGCTGCTATTTATAGCAGCATTATTCACCAAAAAGTAGAAACAAGTGTCCATTCTCAGATAAGCAGATAAACAAAATGCAGTGTATGTATATAATGTATATAATGTACATTTGTTACAGGACAGGGTGAGGGACCCCCAAACCTGCCTGTTCAAATCATCTGCTGCATCAAGACAAAACATACTCTAGTGCTCATGATCTTTAATGGAAAGAAACTTTAATGCAATTAGTGTACACAATAAAGAGATGAAAAGGGAAAGAATAGATAAAATTGTCTTAACACTAAACACTTAAAATTACCCTCTCTTCATGGGTAAATACCCAGTCCAACAAAGTTGGCCCAAGCAAGAATGTTGAGGCCCAAAAGTTTGCCACAAGTCTAAGAAGGCACTTTGTGATGTGGAGCCATTGGAAAGCAAGCCTGGAAGGAAAAGCGCAGAATCAAAATCAAGATAAAGACTACCATTGTTAACTTCTCATCCACATCTATTTCAAGTGCTTCCTTCCATGTCCTAAGTCCCAGTCCAAGGTAGAGAAAAAAACACAGCTTCTTCACATATTTCTGCTCCATGTGCTTCCTCCAAGTCTTCTTGCTCTCCAGACGCCTTCCTTCCCTCTATCCAGCTTCTTCTCCCTGTGCAGCTCCACCCTCCCTTGGGTTACCAGGGAACCAGGAATCTCCCCTCTCCCTAGAGATCACATACTGATCCTTAAAAAGAGGAGAAATTCTGACACATGCTACAAAGTGGATGAACCTTGAAAAAGTATGTGAAGTGAAATAAGTCATTACAAAGGGACAAGTATTTTATGATCCCACTTATATGATATACCTGAAATAGTCAAAATCATACAGAAAGAAAGCAAAACAATGGTTACTAGGAGATGGGGAAGAGAGTTTGAAAAGTTAGTGTTTTAATGGGCAT